ACCCCCGGCGTATGTTAGACCCATCAGTTTTCTGCATCCTTGTTCAAAGCTTCTCGCCACCATCCTTACAGATCCGATTCTAGATGATGCACAACAGTACCTAGCCCTTATTCCTCAATTTGCTTATCTTGGTGGTACGAACTCAGACTGCAGGACAAAGGCGGAACACATCCATCACAAAAAGGCCGGGCACCATTTCCTTCTGTCGGGGGCATACAGATACAAATTTCTTTGGATGTCAACAAGGCTTTCGATCTTTTTCCTACAGAAGTTCTTCTGTTGGCCATGCAGGAGGCAAAAATCGATCTATCAATCACCTGCTTGATATGAATTTACACGTTGGTTCGCTTGGGCATTTGCCATGGACAATGCACCTCTGAGATCCCGACCCGCACTGGGGTCAGGCAGGCATGCAGTCTCGCTCCGCAATTGTGGGCCCTTTGCACAAGTTGCTTCATTCCCTCACGGCTTCGTGTTCTTGCATATGGTGCTGCTCTTACTGCCCCAAAGGCTTAGTGCCAGGGCAAGGCGCAACCGATCCTACTTAACAGCACACGATCCATAGCCAACGTTGTTTCCAAGTTATTTCAAAAAATTTCGTCCAAATAGTTTTTTGCGCAAAATTCAAAAAAATTGTCTTTAAAACGCAATCGCCGCCAGGCGTCCGCGAAAGCTAAAAAACGTTGGTGACATGTTCTCCACTTCTTGGTTTTTGGACACACGATCCATGACTCAACCCTTTTCAGTGGGTTTAGCGACAAGCAACAGCGTCATACGCCCAGCGCAAGATTTGGATACTGCGCTGCAGTTCATGAGCAAAGACTTCACGCCGATGCATAAACAGGGTCTTTCTGTGAATGCCACCAAAACACTTGTCCTGATCGATTCCAAGGGCAACCGTGCCTCGAAGCTTCTGTCCAAGGCTGTTGTCCACAAACAAGGCAAAGGCATTCCTTGAAAATTCCGCTGCAGGATGGCGTTGCCCCTAAGGTCTAGGATTTGCCCATTGTCAAAAAGCACACCGAGCATGGCATCCGCATCGGACACTGTCAGTTCGAAAGGACACGCTTGCTCGTAGGTTTTCACTTGCATGGGGTTTTCTCGCAAGCTGAAGCCCATCCTTTGCAATTGTTCAATGTCGCGCAAGCAGTAATTACAACTTTGGCAGGCGTGTGTTTGACCACTCTGCAGCACGGACGGACGTGCACAGGCTTGACGAGCTCGGGACCCAAACAGATTCGATCTTTTGCGGCACAACAGGTCCGCAGTATTGCAAGCAGCTTCAGCATTTTCACCTACGAACGTAATGCAAATTTCTTTTGCAGGCTTCTACTTTTTGGATTCTGTGGAGACTTCGGCACAGGCTTCAGCCAAGCGAGTCACTAAATCCGGGCATGTATTCGTTGTTCTACCCCAGACAAATATGGACCAATGGCTATCCATTGTGAGGGCAGGCCTTGAAGGAGAGAGGGGTGCGATGGGTGTACGCGCCGGCCTTTAGCTTCAACACTGCTGCTTTCTCTTACAGATTGATCTTGTTTGCCATGAAAGATGTTTGTGTATTTTGTTTCAGCACCCAAGCTGGCCTCGACGGCCACATATACAAATCACACCGTGATCTGGAGCAGAGCAGCGGGACGCAGAAATTTCACGCCACAAGGTTTCCTTGGTTTGGAGAAATGGGCTGCACGGCATGCCTATTTGCAAATAGTGTATGCATCAACTTAATTGTTGGCTCGTTTTCCAATAGCGTGTTAATAGCAGGAGCTGTGTCGGTATCGGGACTTCCATGAACATACAACCAGGAATGATGTTGCTGCGCTTGCTCATTCATTGACATGCCAAAGATGTTTGGATTGCCCTGCACACGTGAACTGCCTCGGAACTCTCCACATGGTGTTGAATGTTATTTATGGTGCACGTTGATGCAATATGTTGGCAGACACATGCGTCCCATAAAAAAGTTGAGGCCCAGATCAAATCCGCAGCATTTGTTTTACAGAGCCCCGGCCCCCCCCAGCACCAAGCCCTCCGAAACAGACGCCAGGACCTCAAGTCCTGCGCGGTTATCCTCAATGCTGATTACCTGGTCCGCTTACTTGCCATTTTTCATGTTTGTGCTTGTGCTGATCATGCAAGACCTCAAGGCCAATCAAGCGCTGGACATGTTCACCTCCATCAAGTCCAGTCAACCCTGGCGCCCGGAATGGCAAGCACACCCTCTGGCACCACTTCAGAACACATGCTTGTGGATCAGCCAGGCGAGCCGCGGCAAGGGTCAGAGGCCATAGTCCCAATGCTCGGACGACCACTACTGGAGCAATTCTTTGTGGAAGAAATGGGACGACAAGTCCGACAAGAAGCACAGGGAGCTCAAATCCTCGGTTGTGATGATGGGCTACGTTCTGTTGCGCCACGAGGACCAGCAAAACATAACGCGACCTAACGGAAATCTTGTTCTTTTCTTGAAGACAAACGTGGCCAACAACCTGGCCAAAGGTTTTCATCAAACGGCCCAGTAATGGAAAATCAAGAAGCAACAATATCCAGGAAAACAAAAGCTTCCAATGCGGGTGGTGCTTTTTCAGTCCGTGGTAATGTCGACCGCGGCCAGGTGGGAGAAGGTTATCAGCGACCCGGAGCTCCGGAAGGAGGCCATAGAAGCAACGTGGATTTTTCCGGACGGCCAGAGCAGTTTGTGCCTGCAGTGGGACAACGCGAAGAAAACCCACATGGCAGCTCAGGGTGGGAACCACGTCCAAATCAAGGAGGTGAGCATCTTGCTCATGGAGTTGGTCGCATTGCCAAGCTTCCACTGGTGGTCAACAGATTCCCTGCAACCCGCTCCCTCTCAAAGGAATACAGCTCGCCTTTCATTCTGATGCTGATAGAGGTGGGGGGCGCACGCATGCGGCGAATAAGGCATGGCAAATTTTGGACAGGCTTGCCTATACGTTGGTTTGGGTCTCCAGCATGACATATCTGCGGCACGAGCGCCTACAGAGGAGCCAACTGGCCAATGGTATTTAAAATTATTTTCGGCAGATGTCTTGGCCTTAAAATTGGGAATTCTACTCTCTTCTGCTACATCAACTTTGTTGCCATATCCTCCTTTAGGTTTGCGCACAATTTCCGATCAGGTGATGATTCCATCAGTGATTTGCAAGCTATTTCAAGGCGCTGCTAGGTCTGGACAAGTTTTCTATTCGAGGCACTTATTCTTCTGGAAGGCCATTCTTGCCGGATGGTCGAGGCCTTTTTTGCAACACGACGTTGCTGAGTTTTTGAAGTTTCCACTTTTTAATTTTCTGAATGGACACTGGCAAGCTCGAGAGCTGGATGACTCTATATGCCGTATAACTGTCCCGTTGGCCTTGGAATTCAATTCGAATGAGGCGGAATACCCGTGTTTAATATAGGATCTTATTGATGGTTGGCACCAACAAGCGCAGGTATATGGTCTCCTGAGACGCCCTGATATCCTGAGCCTACAAGTTTATAGATTCGCACATAAGGGGAGCGACATTCGCAAATCTCATAGACGTGTCATTCCTGAAACAGTGCAGCACGTGTGAATTCTGTCTAAATACGGCCATTTTTCATACAGAGCCGACACCGTCCTGCGGGCATTATCAATCCTTGCTCTGGATGAATAATCGTGGAATCTTCATGAATTATGATGGTAAAGCTATTATGAGCCTGACTGACTCTGATGCGAGTAGCATGCATTCCAAACTGTACTTGCTTTTTTATGTTTATGATAATACCTACCCTCTACCTGCTTTCAGTATTCGCTCCGAGATAGATGCTGCATACTTTTAATAAGAATCCTGGATGTGCATTATACAGCAACCTAGAATTGCCGGGCCGAAGAGCTTATCCATAGATTCGCCAAGCAAAGACTTACTTTTGTTTGCTACGTACAAAGTGAAAATCTTCCGAAGATTCTTTATAGATTCACATTACAAAATCTCAATAATATCCTCATTAAAAATCGAAATTTCAAATCATAGATAGAAAAATATTTCTTCTTTTAAGAAAATCAATTAAATAATATATATATATATATCATTTTTTAAGAAAATCAAATCTAAATCTCGAAAAAAAAGAATAATATCCAAGAACAATATTATCAAAAGAATCAAATTTAAAAATTTCAAAATATAAAAGAAATCAGCCTATTATTTTCAGAAAATCATTTTCTAAATTTCGGCAATTTTTCAGAAAATCAAAGTTCCAATTATCAATTTATTTCCTTCTATCCTAAATTTTCATTCAATTCTTCAATTTTCGAATATAATATGAAAAATATGAGTTCATGAAATCTATGTATGGGTCTATTGTTATTAAAAATCTAAAAATACCTAAGATATATTTCTTCATGAAAAAAAGAATAAAAGGCGAATTCAATTATTATCATTCTATATCGATAAAGTATTTATGAATCCGTTATCATAATCATATTTTTATTTCCGGAATTTGGGTATTTTCGGGAGTGCGTCCGGATTTATGCGGAAATTGGTCAATTGAATCCGAAATATGGGTGTGGCTTCGTGTTATTCATTATTGATTTTTTGTTTGCCGCTGCGCTGCATTGGTTTCGGGAGATCTGGCGGCTATCTCTCACAAGAATACGCCGGCGGGAATTGAACCGAGATGCCAGGCACTTTGGCCGACGCCGCAGATACCATTTTATTTGAGGGAAACGTGTCATGTAATGAAGCTTCGCTCTGGTGGCCACAATCGTAATTCGTTGCCATATATCAAGCATTGTGGCCGTTGAGACTTATGGAACTCATGCCATTTTCCCATTGAAAGGTTGCATGACCACCCGTTCACCAATTCGGCTTGCGAACGGAATATGGAACGCTCTTCTCAGGCTTTTGCTGCGCGGCTCGCAATGCGTCAAGACGCGCCTGCGAACTCCGAAGCAAAATCAGATACTTCACGTGTGCCAGGCAAGCGCTGCACCTTTGCATGCCCGAAGCGTCCGGAATCGCTCACTTCTGGTGTGTTCCCTGGCCTCGTTGAGAACAACTTTCTTGTCCAGTCTGTCCCATGCTGTGGAGGCTTAGGCACCGCGCACCGCTACAGGTATGGCAGTGCTTCGCAGGAGTCGTTCGCGCTCCTCGGCAAACTTTGTTAGGGTCATTTTGCGAGTGCTTATTGCCCAGCCTCGGCGACGCCTGTTCGCGGCAGGACCATTGGGACCTGAGGTTGCTGCCATGAGCCCTTCCAAAACCCGACACTACGCAACAGTCATAACGATGCCTTGGACAGCTCTTGCTCCTTGCCCTTCCTGACAAAAAGTACGTCACAGGCATTCCGTTGCAAAGCAACGCTTCTCTTGCGTACGGGCATCTCTTTTTTTTTCTTGTCCTTTTTCTTCTTCTTGTCCTGGATTGGCTTCTTGACTTAGCTGAGCTGCATCGCAACTCTTGAAGAGCTATGCCACATCAAAGCTCAATGTAGGTCCTTCTTCTTTTTATCCTTTTCCTTTTTCTTGTCTTTCTTGGACTTTTTCTTGTCCTAGCGTGGCTTGCTGGGCACTTGACGGGCGCACAGCCTGCAAACATCTCATGCGTATTCACATGTCCTTCTTCTCCTCAGAAGAGTGGCTATCTGAAGAAGAACTTGAAGACCGGCTTCGCTTGCCCATGATACGCTCAAGGGAGCTAGTCAAGCATGGGGAGCGCACTTCCCAAAACGCACCACTTGGCAGGCCGCAAGAACTGTGCATGTGCTGTTAACGAACAAGGTAGTGGCATGCTGCGGGGTCTGATGCTGACAACAAAACAGATGGTGCTGTACATGCTAGCTGCGCAAGAATCTGATGTGTGACCACATCTGTAATTGCAACGAATGGATGCGATCTGAAAGCCTGCTTGGCAAATCCGCAATGTCAAGCATACAACATCATTGGCCGAATGTGTGCAGGAAAGAGTCAAAACAGCGAACCGTATCCAGTTCGCTGTGTGCTCCTCTGTCTGCTTGCAGCTCATGCTACGCCCAGACATGCAAAGTGAACATGTTCCAAAGATAATAACATTCTCCGACCTACGCTGTGATGGCAAGCACGGCTGGATCGCAAATCATCAACAGCATCATTTTGTCCTGCCGAGGCTCTTCAGCAAGAGGTCAGCAGCACGCTGGAAACTAGCAGCCGCTTCTGCGCAAACTTAGTCCCACTTGCAGCTGCTCTTTCAAGAGGCGCGCAAGTCTTAAAGGGACACTGGCAACCATCAAGCTTATGCAGAGCTTCCATCAACATGACATCATGGCTTGTCTTTGCGGTGTCGTATGCTATAAGCTCAACAAGCCGGACTGCAGCGTGCACCAATGTGCATTGTGCAACGCGCAGTGCAGCCATTCTGCGGCTTCATGTCCCGCTAGCAGACTGCGAGCAACAAACACTTCAGCGGCGAAACGTCTAAGGCTTGTGGGATGTCGGCTTGTCTGCAAGCGGAAAGGCTAAGAAAAATAGATTCTGTCCATGCCGTGTGGACAAGTGAAACAAGTAGAGCGATTGACTGCCAAATTCTGGCGGGAGCGTTTCCAAAAGATGATCTCAGGTATGACGAGTAAAGGAAGTCTGGCTGAGACTAGAGAATCATCACTGTTTCTCTGCTCTCTTAAGGCTGAGCTCCAATGGATTTGGAAGATTCAAATGAGGCCCGGCACTCAGTCAGCTGCATTTTCAAGGGTTCGATTTGTGGCTGTACCCCTGAAGCGGGCTTGAACGACCACGCCTAAGCACCCCGAATGCAAAACTAAGAAAACTACTGCGGTTTTTCTCAAGCTGTTTCCGAGCAATTGGTGCCTGATGCGGTGTCCCTTCAGCTTCAAACCCAAAACGAGCACGCCCAACCGCGCAGTTCGCAGGCAGCTGCAAAGCTGGCATCACTGCTGGTTAGTACATGCAACTTGCCCTTAACACCATGGAACAAAGTTGTAGTATTGCCGTTTGCAGACGGAAGAGCTTGGATCACATCGGATATTCTTCGGATTTACTAGAAGTCGAAACCTTCTGCAGCATTATGGCCCGGCTTGTGCGAGGCAGTGTGGTGCCAAATCCCATCCAAGGAAGCCATGCTGCGACGTTGTGTAAACTTTGACGCTCAGGCTGGAGTTCAGTCATGCTTCCTTGCTGCGGAAAGCCTAGGGTTTTGGAGTTTGCCTTGCCTGGAGCTGCCTCCGGAGTTTTGTAGCAGGACCCGGCGCCTAGAGTTTATCTATGCAGCATCGGTAAACGAATCGACTGAATATTCTCATGTGCCCACTCAGCCACTCTAACAACCTCAGAAAGCAGCCCAGACTTCAGTCAATCCAAGAACAAAACTCTGCTGGCGTGCTCAGCATGATTTTGCTGAACTCACGCATCTTCCACTCATAGTTTGAACGCTGCGCTACTTTCGCGCAGCCCTTAGTTGTTGACTGGATCAGACGTGAAAGCTTCCAGCATGCTTAGCGTACTTACGATCAACCACACTATCATGCACTGCATGCACCCTGCCATTAACCCTGCTTGCCCAGGTGCGTCAGGAGGTAAAATCTCCTGAGGGGCCGAGTGTCCGTCTGCTGCACCCTACAAGCAGAGAAGGCTTTCTTACAACCCAGTTGACTCCAAGCTTCCCAGAAGCTTTTGCAAAGACTCGAAGGACACACGCACGCGACCTTCGCCGCCTCGGTGTTAGCCAAAACTCGTAGGATAGAAACGCCACGTACAACACCAGCTTCAGCTTCAGACTTTACATACTTGTGGACGCCAAGGCCAAGCTGCTGATGCCGTCGAAGGCCTTGCGTGCTGCTTTGGCAGCCCGGAGCCGCTTGGACTCGCTCGAAACGCAGACATCCTGAAACAGCTGAAGAGCACTGTTCAAGCAGCTGAGTGCAGCTTCACGCGGTCCTCATCTGAGGAATCTGGCACTCGATCGCTCTTTTGCTGAACCACCACATGCCTATCTTTCCTTAGAGGGCACTCGGCAAAACCATAATGGTGAGGTTAATAAACAACCAATGGCAATCGTCCAAGAGGCTTTTCCAGCTGTTGCTGTGCATGCGACAGTCTGGAGCCAGCTCTCTCCAGCAATCGCTGCAGCTCTGCTCGACTCACGAAGCCGTCACCTCTGTTGGAACTTCTGCGCCATTCTGCAGGTTAGTCTGCAGGTCACAGCATCGCAACCCTGAGTTTAGGCCATGGTGCCATTCTCATCCAGCCTGTCCAGCTGGGCTTGAACACGATGGACCCTTTTTTCTAAAACAATGTGCTTAGCGCCACTTCTGTGCTCAAGCATAAGCGGAAACATGCCTGTCGAAACTGCTTCGCAGAAGCTTGGCCTCAAAGGAGTGACGAGTGCAAGTCAAGAGACAGCGGAAAACTAGCTGGTGGAGGGTCTTTGCAGGACGAGGTACTGTAAGGAGCTCGCGGCAAGATGGCACCAACGCCGCAACAAAACCTTGTCACTTGGACTCTGCTGCTGAAATTATTCAAGCGAAAAGCAAAAGACCTGGATGCTTGTTCGGGCTGCTTACGGCCAAAGACCTGTGGCGTTTGGATCTAGTCAGGTGTGCGTTCCCACCCCCGAACCCGCATCCTTGGATGCCCCGCGAACTTTTCACCTCCGTGCAGGTTGCTCCCTCTGCCACCTGCACGCTCCCGCGCCCCCGCCCTTCCTCCCCATAACCAGAAACGCGCCCATGCCTGCCACCCTCGCTGAGGCGAGACTCGCGCTTGCGGTTGAACTGCCTGAACCAAGATCCGTTTAGCTTTGTCTCTGAGGGGCGTGAGAACTCCACAGAACCGCCCCCATCATCAAGGAGCCGCACGGCAGCCTGCTTTGCAGGCTCCCCCTCCAGGCCAGCCTTTGTCAATCGCACATCTGAACTGTTAAAAGATGGGGAAGAAGAATGTGTAGGCATGTCCTGCGGCTTCTGCACTTCTAAAGGAATCTGGTCCATGTAAGCCTCGTACATGTACCTGCCCTATGCAGCATCAAATCTGCCAGGAAGCCTTCATTAAGGCTTCTGTGAGCTCTCCCCGGTCTAGCATGCCATTCCCGTCCTGCTCTGCACAGTTGGTACGCCAGTGATGCGATTGCGAAGCCCAGCTTGCCGTGGCAGGTTTGTCGGGTTGCTAAGCTGAAGCAACTTCCAGTGCCGAGATACCCGCTCTCCGAGGCAAAGACTGCGCAAATAGACTGCATTCCCAAAGCAAGTTAGGAGCTTAAGCCGTATCGGCTGGGCATAAAGTTACTTGCCACTTTCAAGTCTGGCCACTAACTGTTGACAAGGTTGGGCAAGGGAACCGTGTCCTTGTCCATGGACTCAAACAGCTGTGTCAGTTCTCTGAGCTGTGCCAGCGGCAGCTGTGACGCCATGTCCAAGAGCACTGCCTCTGTCAAAGGTTTTTCTAGCTGTCTGGGTTGGGTCTGAATCGATGACCATTTGCGAGTCTTCTTGTGGTTCCTTTTGCCCGTGGAGGCCTGCCTGCGCCAGAGCGTTGGTGCGGTGAAACTGAAGAAGACCTGAGGGAGATCGTTCAAAATTGCATTTGACCTAATAGGGTGCTGTGGGCCCTTGCGCAGCTGGATGTTGATGTCCCTTTTGGATATTGAATTTGTTGCCAGGGCTGGCAGAACAGCAACTCCCATTGGAGCAGTTCCGGAAAGGCACTCCGCAAAACGGATACTGAACACAGGCTGACCCCGTCTTTTTCGCTTCGAGCGCTTACTCGAAAAGCAATCTTCGCACCTTCCTGCATTGGGTTTGCATTTGCAGGCAGGTGTAGCAACTGCAGCCAAGCAGACCTATTCCAACCCGAGAGTTCCACCTCACAAGCACGCCACCTCCCCCGACCACTTGCCATGGATTTTGCCACTTGCATGGCCATACAGCAGCGCAAGGTTCCAAGCCGGTCCTCATCACAACGGATCACTCCCCATCAGGATTCAAACCCAAACCCGACTAATATCAACTCCCCATCAAACCCAAAGATCCCAACGGGAAGCTCGCTCAGGACTAGGCATCAACTGCAAACTACGCTGCCTGAAACTACCCACATGTCCATAACTACCCACATATCCATAAGCAAAATAACCAAAACCCCATAAGCAAAATAACCAAAACTTGCCATGGTTTTAGGTCATGGGATGGTCCAAGAAAGCTCCCCTCACATGGTTCAGCGCAACTCCATGGATGGCAACTGCTGAGTGCACTTTCGCAGCCTCACCCCGGTTGCCTACTTGGAACAGGAAACGCGAACAAATCTTACTGCTGCCTGGCTGCTGTCAACCTGACCAGCTCCTGCAAAAATCGGTGGAGCTGGTGGAGCAAGCCCGCATCTCAACACAAAAAACGTCACAAAACCTGCAAAGCCCTGCATCCGCTGCAGTTCTCAAGTTGATGCACGGTTTTTATTTAAGGTCTGGGCAACTGGTCGATGGAAAATTGGTGAGTGTGTTATCGTTTTCCAATTTTCGGTGTATATGTTGTCGTTACCGTTTTTGGTGAGTGTGTTATCGTTTTCCAATCAAAAC